GTAAACGCTACAAATTAATAACCCTTCTGGGACCGTTTATCACATTTGCGTCGGCTTCGGAAAGGATGAGCTATTCATTACAGATAGATGAATTGCGACTCGCGTTGGCTTTTCACTCGCATCTTCGGCAGGTTGCGGCTCAATACTCGAGGCGCTTGCGAACATGCCCGAGCCCATCACCAGTATTGAGCGTCATCGGCACCGGCTGCTAAAACAAATGTTTAATAAAAATGATTTTGAAATGTTCGGCCACTAAAAACAATAAATACGTTTGGAAATCTTTTTTGAGCGTGATAAAAGCCGACAAGATCAGCGCGGTGATAGTTTGATCCGCCGGGTAATCTGAACGCCGCTTAGGAGCCCGGGACACGAATTTCCGCTGCATCCGAGGCGGCGTGGAAACGGGATTAATCACAATTTTCATCCTCTCGGAAACGCGTGAAAACGATACAATTTCACGGACCTCACATCTCACTTTTTCAAGCTAATGACAAACTAACGGCATAATTAGAGACAGAAACTGGGGCTGGAATTTTTTTCGCCGCCGTCGCGCAGGAGAAAGGTGCATTTTTCTTGCGATGGTATTTCAATTATGGATTTCAGACGCCATCCAGCGTGAAGAGCCGGGCCGGGCTCCCTGATCAATAGGCTCTATTCTCAGCCCGGGAGTCGGCGTGATGAACAAGCCCCCGAACACCTCCCTGACACCGTGTGTATTCTTCCCGTCTTGGTGGATCCACATGACTAATGTACAGACGCTTCTTATTTACTCAGCTTCGGGGACAATCGAATTTCAGAGACTTTGTATTCAACGGGCAAACAATTCCCATCCACGGGATGTCCAGATATCCCTCGCTCAATGGTTCCCCACCTCCGAAGCTGCTGAGCCTTCAAGGCGATGGAAACGTCACCCAATGTGGGGTGTTCTTGTGAATGTTGGAGCACTCCTCCTTCCTTATATAGTTTGTATTTTTTTTCCGCTTGGGATGGAATCTGAAAGGGATAGCACTAGGGGTAGGGCCGGATTCCCGGCAAGGCCACCGAGGCCCGGCCTCGGGGGCGGCATGGAGAAAAGGGGCGGCACGCGTTTGAAGTCGCCCGACGCCCGGAACATGGAGTTCCGGCCGCGGGGCGGTAATTTGTTTTCTACATTTAGCCCGCCTTTGCACAAGCCGGGCTAAATGAAGAATGGGGGAAGCCGCCGCTTGTTTCTTTACAAGTGTTCTTGGTGATGTCGCCGAGATCACTTGTAATAACACTGCAGGCTGTCCGTCTTTTGGTAGAAAGTATTGTGAAGTTATTCACCGCGTAAATAAAGGCTGTTTGTTTTTTTTTTTTTTAAGGTTTTTGAAAACCAAAAAGGAAAAAAAAAAGTCCACAAACATAAAAAGTAAATGTTACAATTACAAACATACTAAAAACACTTAAAGGAGAACTATGGGGTCAGGGATTTTCCCCATAGTTCTCCTTAGGGTAACGGGAGGACACAGACTAACGTCCTCCCGTCACCCAAAGCTCAGTATATAGGGAGCTGCAGCTCGCGGTATACTGAGACGTCGCAGCCAGGACCGATCCCGACATTACTGTCTGGATCCACCCAGCTGCGGGATTGACAGCTGGCTCTGCCTAGCCAGAGGCAGAGCTAGCTGTGCCCGCCCCCTCCCCCGTCCGTTTCGCCAGTCAGCGCTGGAGGATCAGAGCAGGGAGGGGGGTATTGCCTGCAGGGAGCCGTGAGTGACAGTCACGGCTCTCTGCAGGGACAGGATCGAGAAGTGAGCGAGCGACTGTATGTGTTCCCTCACTTCCCGATCTATTGAGCCGACCTGTGACAGTCTCATTGTCACAGGTCGGCTCAGATTATGAGGCTGCGTGAAAATCACCCCCCTCATAGTTCTCCTTTAAGGGCAGAAGGGGCGGAAGGGATTAATTAGGGCTCATTAGGGTTAATAAGGGGTTCAATAGGAACACATTTTATTAAACTAAAAGGTTTATGTTGTCATGTAAAGACCTAAAGAAATCCCTTTGATCAGCGCATGAAAGGAGGTTAAATACATTGTAACAATAATCGATTTCTGCAAACACGGATTGTAGACATCATTACCAGAGGGGCACCTGCAGCCTTTCCTGAACTACAGAGCCGACTACAATGGCAGGGTGAAGGACCTGAGTGTATGGGGTAAGCCTAGAATATTTTAATGGGCATACATTGTACGCCCCGGGTCCATAAATGTTTAAGGTGCACCTGTGGGGGCAGAAATACAGGCGCTGCCTTTGGTTTTCAAGGTGTCGGATCGTCCTTATCCCGGCCTTTGGTGCACAATAAGTCACTAGCCCAGCACGCAGCCAGTAAGCTTGCAAAGCCTGAACTCCTGTCCTCTTTTGGTGTTCCAGGTAGGGAAGCCAAGACACAAATTACGGCATGATCACCTGTTAAATTGTAGCGCCCATAGTTCTATCCTGACAGATTCCCTTTACAATGATGTATTAAAACGTAAATGGTATTTATTAGGGATGCACCGATACTTTTCAGATACCAGTGCCGATACCGGTGCCGATACCGGTGCCGATACTTGGCATTTTCAGGAGAAGTACCAGGGTTGCAGCCGGGACCGGGCTCTGGCGCTCCACCACTGTCCTGAAATCATTGGTCTGTATTGTTTTACAAAAAATGTCACATGACAATAAACAAAAATGTATCAGTACTTGTAAAACTGGTATCAGTGCATCCCTAATATATATTTATAAAAATAAAAAATCATACATTAAAGGAGAAGCACTGACCCCATAGTTCTCCTCAGGGTCACAGGAGGACACAAACTAGCGTCCTTCCGTGACCCAAAGCTCAGTATACCGCGATACTGAGACCGCCTCCACAAACATAAAAAGTAAATGTTACAATTACAAACATACTAAAAACACTTAAAGGAGAACTATGGGGTCAGGGATTTTCCCCATAGTTCTCCTTAGGGTAACGGGAGGACACAGACTAACGTCCTCCCGTCACCCAAAGCTCAGTATATAGGGAGCTGCAGCTCGCGGTATACTGAGACGTCGCAGCCAGGACCGATCCCGACATTACTGTCTGGATCCACCCAGCTGCGGGATTGACAGCTGGCTCTGCCTAGCCAGAGGCAGAGCTAGCTGTGCCCGCCCCCTCCCCCGTCCGTTTCGCCAGTCAGCGCTGGAGGATCAGAGCAGGGAGGGGGGTATTGCCTGCAGGGAGCCGTGAGTGACAGTCACGGCTCTCTGCAGGGACAGGATCGAGAAGTGAGCGAGCGACTGTATGTGTTCCCTCACTTCCCGATCTATTGAGCCGACCTGTGACAGTCTCATTGTCACAGGTCGGCTCAGATTATGAGGCTGCGTGAAAATCACCCCCCTCATAGTTCTCCTTTAAGGGCAGAAGGGGCGGAAGGGATTAATTAGGGCTCATTAGGGTTAATAAGGGGTTCAATAGGAACACATTTTATTAAACTAAAAGGTTTATGTTGTCATGTAAAGACCTAAAGAAATCCCTTTGATCAGCGCATGAAAGGAGGTTAAATACATTGTAACAATAATCGATTTCTGCAAACACGGATTGTAGACATCATTACCAGAGGGGCACCTGCAGCCTTTCCTGAACTACAGAGCCGACTACAATGGCAGGGTGAAGGACCTGAGTGTATGGGGTAAGCCTAGAATATTTTAATGGGCATACATTGTACGCCCCGGGTCCATAAATGTTTAAGGTGCACCTGTGGGGGCAGAAATACAGGCGCTGCCTTTGGTTTTCAAGGTGTCGGATCGTCCTTATCCCGGCCTTTGGTGCACAATAAGTCACTAGCCCAGCACGCAGCCAGTAAGCTTGCAAAGCCTGAACTCCTGTCCTCTTTTGGTGTTCCAGGTAGGGAAGCCAAGACACAAATTACGGCATGATCACCTGTTAAATTGTAGCGCCCATAGTTCTATCCTGACAGATTCCCTTTACAATGATGTATTAAAACGTAAATGGTATTTATTAGGGATGCACCGATACTTTTCAGATACCAGTGCCGATACCGGTGCCGATACCGGTGCCGATACTTGGCATTTTCAGGAGAAGTACCAGGGTTGCAGCCGGGACCGGGCTCTGGCGCTCCACCACTGTCCTGAAATCATTGGTCTGTATTGTTTTACAAAAAATGTCACATGACAATAAACAAAAATGTATCAGTACTTGTAAAACTGGTATCAGTGCATCCCTAATATATATTTATAAAAATAAAAAATCATACATTAAAGGAGAAGCACTGACCCCATAGTTCTCCTCAGGGTCACAGGAGGACACAAACTAGCGTCCTTCCGTGACCCAAAGCTCAGTATACCGCGATACTGAGACCGCCGCAGCCAGGATGGATCCCGATATTACTTGTCGAGATCCACCCATTCACAGCTGGCTCTGCCTATCTAGAGAAAGAGCCAGCTGTGCCCGCCCCCTCCCCCACCTGCACTTTGTCACAGGTTGGCTCAGATTATGAGGCTGAGTGAAAATCACCCGCCTCATAGTTCTCCTTTAAGACAGAGATGTACAAATCCCGGGAGCTCCGCGTGCTCCTTACACATGACAGCGGCCTCCTAACTATTGAATGTTTCTCTAGTCTAGTCTTGGACCTGGAAAAGTATCGGTACTTGTACTGAGTCCGGTACTTGGTATCGGTGCATCCCTACCATTTATGCAAAGTTGGGGGGTCGTTTTTCCACCTCGAGACACATCACGGATTTCTCGGAACCGTATCGGCCGATCCTAGTTACCCGTGCCGCAGCCCAGCGCAGACAAAAGATTGATTAGTTGGCCAGGACCAGCGGTGCCGTTACCTGCTCTCCAGCTCCACTGACACATCTCCAGCACCGGAGTCCCCGTTATTAAGTGGGTCACCTCTGTCAGCTACAAGCAACAGGTCACAGTCACTGCAATGGCATTAGTCACATGGTGACATGACAATGGCGCT